TACTTAATGGAGAAAATGTCAGCATAGTTCCTGGAAATTCTCTACTGGAAAGAGCATTTGTGATGCGAGCTTTTGTGACTGAATGTGGGACCGTTTATTACAACCAATTTCACAAGATCCTTCTTCAGATAGCTTTGTTTAAAACAATCGTAATGAGAGTCTGGCAATTAATCAGTACATAATTAATACTGGATAAGGTAATTAATTTATTAATTTGCTGGGGAAGGTGGGGGAGGTTAAGGAGGGGAGAGCATTCTCAGCCCATAGATGCGTAAAAGGAAACACAAAGGATCTGCCCCTCGGTAGGGAATTGTCATGTCCAGTTATATTACGATAGTTATAGTGGGACTGGATGCTCACTGAGCATATTTAATTTCTCTCAATTGGGTTGGCATAATTAAAACTATTTTCTAGATCAGAAAACTGGAGGGGCTTAGCTTCAATGAATGTATATTGGGTCACTACTGCATGCTAGTGTATGTGTTCTTATAACTAACCTGTGGGGAAAATTTGTTATCAACACTTAGATAATTTAAAAATGAGGATCAGAGAAATTAAGTCAGGGCTCAAAGATAGTGAGTGACTAAGAGAGTTTTAGAGCATTTATACCAACCATCCAAATGTTATTTTGATTTCTCTCTCTCTCTCTCTCTCTCTCTCTCACACACACACACACACACACACATACACACACACACACAGAGTTTTCTCCTTGCCTCTCCCAAATATCCTTCTAGCTCTTAGGATATTTTTTCCTGTTGTTATTTTTGGTATGCTACTTTACTTTTGTAAATAGTATGGGGGTAAAGTTTGGTCTTTTCTGAAGGTAGAGATGCTTGAAAGGAGATAAACTTTTGCGAATTTCCACCTTCCTTCAAAACTAGATAAAGATCCCAAGAGAGAGGAAATCAAGCCCCATCCTCTCTGGCAAACTTGCCAGCATTCTGTTTATGGCCCTGGGGCTCACGTCAAGCCAGTCGGGTTCCCACCTGGTGAACACGGCCTGCCTCTCCTGAGCAGCCCAGGGAAGAAGAGCCCTGACTTCAGTCTCCCATTCTAGGGGGATGTGACAGTGGCAGGTTGAAAACCAGGCCAGGGGGATTCTGGTGGCCTGAAAACAATGGTCCCCCCAAAAATGTCCAGGTCCCAGTCCTAGTCCTTGAAACCTGTGAATCTTACTTCACATGGCAAAGATTTTGCAGATGTGATTAAGGATCTTGAGAATGGGGAGATTGTCCTGGATTACCCAGGTGAACCCTAAATGCAACTATAAGTGACCTCCTTATAACAGAGAAGAAGTGAGAGACTAGACACAGAAATGGAGGAAGCAGTGTGACCACAGAGGCAGAGGCTAGAGGGACACGGCCACAGCCAAGGCATGTGGGCGGCTACCAGAAGCTGGAAGAGGCAAGAAGGATTCTCCCAGAGCCCTGAGGCAGCACAGTCCAGTGGCACCTTGATTGAGCCCAGTGGAACAGATTTTGAACTTCTGACTTCCAGATGAGAGAAATTCCTATTGTTTTAAGCCACTGGGTTTGTGGTAATTTGTTAGAGCAGCCATGGAAAACTAATACAGGAACAAAAAGTCCAAGATTTTG